ATATAAATACGAAAAAGCCCATAAAGCCCTGTTCAGGCCGGGTCGGGCTTTGAAAAATAAATCCGAATATTTTTCGGACCGGGCCGGGCCGGACTTATATATAGACGGGCTTTATAGGTTTTGGGCCGGGCCGGGCCGGGCTAACTCGTTTGACATGCCTAAATTCAACTTGATTAACATGTGTGTTGGATCTGATCTCCATGAGCCAATTAAAGTCTATAATAAGCAGAGCACTAGGAGGAAGCTTTCTACTTGGATCTGCCCTCTTCACTGCATCATCATCTTCCTCAAATCCGCCGTCTCTAGCCTCCGCGTTTTCTTCCTCCTCCTCCGTCGTCCCCATGGAAACCCATAAAACCAAGGTTTGCATCGTCGGTAGTGGTCCAGCGGCACACACGGCGGCGATCTACGCGTCTAGGGCTGAGCTTAAGCCTCTTCTCTTCGAAGGATGGATGGCTAACGATATTGCTCCCGGAGGTCAGTTAACTACAACCACCGACGTCGAAAACTTCCCTGGTTTCCCCGATGGTATTCTAGGTTTGGAGATCGTCGAGAAATTCCGAAAGCAATCGGAGCGATTCGGTACTAAGATCTTCACGGAGACTGTTAACAAGGTTGATTTCTCTTCTAAACCGTTTAAGCTATTCACTGATGCGAGAACAGTTCTCGCCGACTCTGTAATCATTTCGACCGGAGCTGTAGCGAAACGCCTTAATTTCACCGGATCTGGTGAAGGTGTTGGTGGTTTTTGGAATCGAGGAATCTCCGCTTGTGCTGTATGCGACGGAGCTGCTCCGATTTTCAGGAACAAACCACTTGTAGTTATTGGGGGCGGAGATTCAGCTATGGAGGAAGCTAATTTCCTTACTAAGTATGGATCTAAGGTTTATATAATCCATAGGAGAGATACGTTTAGAGCTTCTAAGATTATGCAGCAGAGAGCTTTGTCAAACCCTAAGATTGAAGTGATATGGAACTCTTCGGTGGTTGAAGCATTTGGTGATGAGAATGGTAAAGGTATTCTTGGAGGGTTGAAAGTGAAGAATGTTGTTACTGGAGATGTGTCAGATTTGAAGGTTTCTGGATTGTTCTTTGCGATTGGTCATGAGCCAGCGACGAAGTTTTTAGATGGGCAGCTTGAGCTTGATGAAGATGGCTATGTATTGACTAAGCCTGGTACTACAAAGACGAGTGTGGTTGGTGTATTTGCTGCTGGAGATGTTCAAGATAAGAAGTATAGACAGGCTATTACGGCTGCTGGAACTGGTTTGTTCTCTTACTTCTCTTTTTGACATTTCTGCACAATGAGTTAGCATAATGGTTTAAAGAGTATTTGGTTACAGTTGTTTATATGTTTAGCATAATCATTTGACTGATCTGTTTAGAAAAAGTTGGCGTTTTTAAAAGTCATTAGCTTGTTATGATGAATTGAAACCTTTTCATGTTCTCAAAGTGCCTTGTTTTGTATACATTTGACTCTTAACAAAGTAATTACCTTGACCCCAAAAAAAAAGCAAGTAGTTTGAAGCATGAATTTGTTGGGTTTGTGTTTGCTATAGAATAGTCCTGTATTCTGCCTCTATGTGTGCAATTGAAGGTTATTTATGTTCATTCTTTAGAAGTATAGTGGTGGTCGTTAGTTGTTCTTGAGAGCTTGCAAGTGAAATTCAACGGTTTCAAGTATCGTTATAAGATTTGTTATCTTACTGCTCTATTGCTACAAAAAGAAGCGAAAATACTTGGCAGTTTTATACGGTTTAGTGTGTGGTCTTTGAACTCTGCTGATGGCGAAAACTATAATGAAATTGTTCTTGATGGTCTAGAGTGATTAGTGATTTACCATGAACCCCCATTTTGCATACCTTTGTAGACAGTGATTTACCTTCAGATGAATTAAAAAAAAAAACTAAACTTTGATAAACAACTTGTGGATGGTGTAGGGTGCATGGCGGCTTTGGATGCAGAACATTACTTACAGGAGATTGGATCTCAGGAGGGTAAGAGTGATTAGAGAAGATGTTGTTGTAGGAGGACCCAATTTGAAGAAGCTATTTTCACCAATAAAGAATCAGATTGATCTTTAAAAAAGAAAAAAAAAAGACAATTGAAGGGATTTTGAGTAAGAGTTTTGTTATTTGCGTTTGCAGTTGGAGTTGAGTCTGGATTTTGTGCCAAGTTGTAACTCTTTATTGGTCACAACTTCGACCAATTCCTCTTTGATTTGTTCCTCAGGTGAGGACTTTTTCAGATTTAATTTGATTATGTTACATAAAACCAATGAATATGGAGTCTTTAAAGCTCAAGAAAACTATCAAAATGGGTTTTCTATAAATATTATTTCAGCTTAAATTGAATAATGGATTGAGAAATTTCAAAAAATGCCACTTTTTAAGTGTTACTTAATAAAAATGTCACTTTTTTCAATCTTTACAAAAATGTCACTTTTTAAAAA